GCGACGGGTCAGCAGACGACGGAAAGAAGTCAAGCGTTGTAAGAGTGGTGCGCAGTGTGTCGTGCCACTCACGGGGAGCCTGTCGCAGGCCATAGACAGGTTGACGCAGCTGCCATTGGGTCAAGGGAGGGAAATAGCTAGTGAAGCCAGGCGGGCGACGCAGTCTGCTCATGGAGGCTCCCCTGAAAGAACACTATGGAGAAGTCCAAGGAGCGCAACTCGTAGTCGCCTTGAGCTGCGATATATAGCAACACCCAAAGGGTGGGCATCTTCGGGGTGGGAGCGAAGGTCTGGAAAAAGGTCTACCCCCTCGCGCTGACTGAAGCCTCTCACCACATAGCGCGAATGAACAACGGTGGTGATCCAAACGGCCGCTTCACCTTGTAGAGCCACATGCCACTGACGACGTTCGTCCCAGGTGGTGGGACGGCGTCGACGTAGGTGCCTGTGGACCTATAAGATGCCATCTCTGCCTCCTCAGCTGCTATCCAGTACAAGAATGGAAAACTTCAGGGCAAACCCTAATTAAGGTGAACCTTGCTCTGATACCATGTTAGAATATAAGAATGAATGACTAAAGGGGAAAATACAACAAGTATATATGAAACCTCACACTAACCCTACCAAACATATAGTCCACCTAGACTTACAATAGAAGCTATAACAATTATAGCTTGACACCCCTTGTGTTCAAACCAAGCTCTCCCGAACTCCTCATCCTTCTTCTTCTGCCTTCCCCAAACCCCTTAATCTTGTGCAAATGAACCTCTGGGGTCCCTCTCCCATTGCCTCCCATCAGGGTCATCGCTACTTTCTCCTTGTCGTTGATGACCACTCTCGCTTTGCCATTGTTTATCCCTTCCGTACCCCCTCCCTCATCATTCGCTGGGCTGAGCAGGCGCGTCTTCGCTTTGGCCATCATATCACACGCCTCCACTTTGATGGTGGTGGCAAGTTCTTTAACATTCTCTCTCCTCTTACTGGTCCTCTCCAAATGTGAGGCACAGTTCTACGCTGGGACTATGGCTGCGCCGGAGTTACACTGCTAACCTATTTGCTCATTGAGTTGGGTGATCGGCCTTGTTCTATACGCGTACAATAATTGCCTTGTGTCAGAAATATAGACTCGCGCACAGAATAAAGCACATTGCCCTTCGTAAATTTCTCCTACTATAATTGGAGCAGTGTGGCCATGTTTGCCTTACTTACATGACCTCTTGTGCCAACACTACTGGTATTCTCACTGAGGCCCTTCGGTCTAGTGACCATCAACGTTTCCGTACTTCTCTTGGCCTTGTACCTACTCTGCCTGACTTGCTTACCTCTTGATCCCATCTTGTATTTGTTGTATTTGAGTCATGTCTTTTTTTCTTTTTCTTTTTATTGGTCTTGAAACCCTTTGTGGTTGTTACCATCCCTCACTTAGCCTATGGGGGTGTGTCAAACATTGCATGTTTAAGTTGTGTAGGCTGTAATGAGGTTAGCTATAAGGGATGCGACACTATTAAGGTTCATGAACATATCACCCTTGCTCCTTACTCAATCATTCCACTAATCTGTTTCTGACACTAACTAGGTGCGGGCTGGCTACTGGGCGTGCGTTACTGGCGCGTGCGTCGTGAACACGCACTGGGCTGGTGCGCGCGTTAAGCTAGCGGTTCACACTGCTAGCGCACGCATTTCGCTGGCTGCGCACGCTGCTGGCTACGTGCACATTGACGTTGTCAACGGGAGTGGTGTTTGGCCCCGTCCTCGCTTGGGCGGAGCCGACCTCGTGGTCGGTTGTGCGGGGGGATGCAGCCGACCTGCAGCAGTGGGCACGGGGGCCACTGCAAGGGCGTTGTGTTGGGGGGCGCCTGGCTGGAGGGCGCCGAGCACGAGGACGCCGTCCTTTGCGTCTGGACGGCATCCTGGGCGTCTGCTCGGCGTCCTGGGCGCCTGGACGCCGACCTGGGCGTCTGATCAGCGTCTTGGGCGCCTGGACGCCGTCCTGGGCGTCTGCTCGGCGTCCTGGTACTGGGCGCCTGGACGCCAACCTAGGCGTCTGCTCGGCGTCCTGGGCGCCTGGACGCCGACCTGGGCGTCTGGTCGACATACCGGACGCCTGGACGCCGACTTTGAAACCTGGACGGCGTCCTGGGCGAGTGGACGCCGACCTGGACGCCAGGACGCCGACCCTGGGACGCCGGGCTTGGCGCAGCTGGCGACCGACTAAGATGGACGACCAGGCGGGGTTGTCGGATCGACCGGGATACCAGGGCGACGTGTGCGAAGGTCGCCGGGCTGGTTACGGCGAGGGTGACCTCGGGAGTGGTATTCCGAGGTCGACGTGGCAGGTGGGCACCGTTATAGGCGGAATGACTGCGATGGGCACTTGACGGGGAGTTGGACGCCAACCAGCCGCGCACACCTGCGAAGCAGGTGCACCGTTGTCCTGGGAGTGCAACGCTATGCAGCCGACTTGCTGCAGCGTTGGCACACGGTGGAGATGCAACGCTGGAGCGGTGCGAGCGTTGCTGCGCTGGAACGCGGTCGACCGTGCTGCGCTGGAGGTTCTACCGCACTGAATCTTATTACACCGAATTACACCCTAGTTTCAAAATTTTCGCTTCTCTGGTTTAGTGCGGTTCGGAGCGGTACACCCGATTGGGACACATCGATTGGGACGCATGTCCACAGCGGAATGTACCCTAAATACAAGGACACACAAGTGTCAGAAATATAAGTTTGCATGCACTTCTAAACTGTTATGACAGATTGCACTTCTAGAAGGTGTGCTTGTACCATAAACTAGGACCAGATTTGAGCGTAGTGCTCCGGATAGAAGCGCATGCACTTATCATAGGTTTGTGCCCATATCCGAGGTCACGAGGTACAACAATTTATATATCATTTGAAAGGGACTCTGAAGGTCATAAATAGCATATACTATAATGAGTTTATTTCCTTATTGTAGCCGAATCTTGACCATGCATCTTAACTGTATTGGTTCCTGCCATTTTCTTTGATGATGTTTTTGCTAACAACCGTCTCGACTATTTTCAACCATTTTCAATCATTCAGATTATCATGTCCATTTGTTTTCGTACTCGATAAGGCGTGTTTCTGTTATGCCCCAGATTATCAAGTATATTTCTCTATAATAACCAAACCCAATGAGGATTTGTTCCTTACACTGCACATTTTGATATGAGAATTTTATTATTCACTTTAAGTTTTTTACAAGGTTGTGTGTTCATGTTTTCTTGTTCCGTTTAACAACTGAATTATTAAGATTATTCTGAGAGTGCGGACTACAAGCACTTCAGAGGTACGGTAGGAGCGGACCAAGACCTGAAGTACTGTACGTGTCAACTTGCCTGGGCGGGTTTCATCCCCAAAGAACCTTGGCTTGGCAGGCAGGAATGCTGCGGCACGTCAGGCTTTCCTCCATGATCTGTAATGAGGTAGGCATGTCATCTCATCGCAGAGATCAAGACGTTTGGGGGTTTCCCGAGTAGCCAATGGAGGAGACGCAGTCAGCCCATACGTAAACCGAGCCTCAACGGCAGCCAAGGTGCTGGTTTGTTTGGATGGCATGCCATGCATGCAGGTCGCGGACTCCTTTTGGTTGGATGACATTGCTGATCCCAAATTGATGTCGTACACACGGCGGCGACGTCCCACTGCCTTGGGCTCGGCATCAGGGCCAAAGTTAGGCTTTTCGCCAACTCGGACGTTTTGGCTCCCTTCCAAAAAGGCCCTGAAAACGCAGGGTCGGCCTAAAAACCGCTCGTAAAAATCAGGGCTGGCCTAAAAAATCCTCGTTTACGTAATTCGATAGTTCCGCGTCAATAAGGACTTCTTTCTGACAAAAGCTGATGCTGAAACACTCTGTTGGTGCACTTATCCTCCTTTTGTGTGGAACTCTGCTCACAGAGAGCGATAGAGTATAGGTGCCTTTGACTAAGGAACAGAGGGGCGGGAGGGAACATTCACAAGTCCAGGAAGCGCGGGGAGAAGTCTACCTGTGTTGGGGAGGGGACGAGGTTGGGGGTGGTTAGAACCTTAGAAAAAGGTTCCTAGTCCTTCGAGGGATGACTCGTATTCACCAGAGTCAGTCCTGGAAGTGCTCGGATTCAGTCAGGGCTGGCCGAAAAATTCCCCTGTAAAAATCCGAGTTCGGCTGAAAAATACCTAGGATTTTCAGTCAAGAACGAGCATTTACCCTGATAGCCTGAGCCCTGCTCGGCATTACCGTGTCATGCTTCGTGCGCTGCCTCGTTCGTTTTGGCTCGGCTCAGGCGCGAAGTCATGTGATGCAGCTTTGCGATACATGGCCATGCATGTAGCATGTTCCATCAGCCCATTCGGCTGTATGCCAAGGCGGTGATGGTGGCAATAGGAAAGGATGGGATCAGGGCCATGCCATGATCAAAGTTCGAATCTCCGATTCAAACATTCGAGAGCCACTTTGCCCAGATCTGCGCGCATGCGACATCTGCCCCAACTCAAGCTTACGATCTTTCGCACATTCAAACTGTCCGTCAAATTGCAGACGCAAGCCCTACCCATGCTAGTCAACTTCTGTCATCGTCATCGTTGGCCTAGGGAACTACAGAGCCAGTACCACCATCCCCATCGTAGTTTTATCCAACGCTGCCTTGATACCTCAAAGCAATCAGCGGTCTTGGGCTAATTCCAATCTTGGTTGAGATAGCTTCACCTCCTAGAGATCTACGTGCGGCAGCGCCAGTGTTGACCTCCCGCTGGTAGCTCGCATCCCCGTGCTCCCAACCACCTTCGAAGTTCCTCCAGTTAGGGGTTGCCATCCTTGTTGCCACTCTTTTCCCAAGCGCACTCCCAATCTCTTGGGACGGCCCACAAACCTCGACCCTGCAATAAGAACCGACGGCACTTGTTTTCGGGGCACCCAAGCCATCGTCATGGCGGGTGAGGTGGCAATGCGCGATGTGGCTGACGAACACACCTGCGCCGTCAATTCGTCGCGCGACTGCGCGATGACCAGCGGTCCCAGCAACGAGAATCCTCGCCAGGAGCGCGAGCACCTGCTACCGACGCAGCAGCCGGCCCAGCAGCGCGGTCGGAAGCGAGCGCCGCTGGTGGAAGTGACGAACCTGGCGGTCGTGGGGGGCAGAGCACGCGCCACAGCCAAGCGCGCTGCCCTGAGGCCTCATCTCGCTGTACGTGTCTCGTCGCCCCACTGATGCGGCTCTCAGGTTGTTCCTCTAAAGGAGCGCTTTCCGTCCTGCTCCGAACCCGCGATGCCCACGCCACGGCTGTGCATGCTAGCACACCTTCCCATTGCACTCGTACAGCCCCGCCATTTCCCTCCGCTCCGCAGTCGCGCTCTGTCGCTGTTACAGTGCCGTTCGTGCTCTGATTGCTACGGTGCTACCTTGTCATCGACGAGTGTGTGGCCCGTCAAACCTAATTGCTCCGAAGGGCTCTCGAAAGTTCCCGCTCGTTTGACCCCTCCGCATGCCCTCTTACTCCGCACCCACTCGCAATTAGCATTGCTTGGATGGCAATTCTCCTTTTCTCTTCTTCTCTGCGCAACACCGTTGCCATCATTGTCAGGCCTTTCATCGATGTTCCCAGCCAAGTCGTTCCCTTTTCCACTTCCCCCGATCCACCTGCCGATTCCGCTCCTGCTTACCGTTTCACTCCCCTTGTCACCTTCCCTTTCACTCTTTCGATTCTCCAGGGCTCGGCGGCAAAGCAGCGAGCAGCGGCACTAGCATCGGCGGCGAGGGACCGCCTGTTGGGCCGTAGGCGCTCCCTTGGGTCTTCCCTGGTGTCAACCCGGCGTGCATCGCCGCGGGACAGACGGAGTCAGGCAGGACGGCAGCATCGACTGGCGCAGAAGCAGCAGGGGCAGCACAAGGCGCAGCAGCGCGTGCGGGGAAGCCGGTCACAGCAGCGGATCGAGGCGCGGCAAGGCGCGTCGTCCGCGCAGCTTACTACTTCCTCGCAGCCTCTCTCGGGGGTCACCACTCTGAGACTACCCCTTACGACGCCGTGCGATGACGACGACAAGGCGCAGCTACCATGCGAATCGGTCGCAGCACTCCCTGCGATGCCGTGCGAGAGAGCCGCGGGTGCCGCGAGCGAAGCGGGCGTGGCGAGCTGCAGGAGCGACAGCGAAAGCAGCAGCAGCAACGGCGGCGGTGGCGGCGGTGGCTCGTCCATCGGCCGTGCTCACGACGTGGTGGGCAGCGAGCGCGGCAGCAGCGCCCGCGCGGACGACGGCAGCCGGTCGTTCAGTGGCAGGAAAAGGCCCGCGGGGGAAGGCGCGTCACCAGCGGAGCGGGCGGCGGACGAGGCGCACATCTGCCGAGAGCGGGCGCGCGGAGAGCCGTCGTGCGTGCAGGCGGAGGCGGATACTGGCGGTAACGTTGCGAGAGGCGAGGAAGAGCATCGTGGGGATGCGAGTCGCGGCAAGGCGATGGTTGTCGAGGATGCGTTGACGACGACGAGAGGCGCGGCGTCTGCTGCGAGCCACGGCGCCTCCGACCTCACCCAGCAACCCGTGCGAGGTGCGCGGCGTGCGCGGCTGATGCGGGTTGGTGTGCGTGGGCGACAGACTGTCTGGGAGGGAGGGTCAGCTGGTGGGAATGGAGGGTTGAAGGGGTTGATGCCCTGATTCTCTCACTCTCACACTGACTCTCGCTCTACCCCCTCCCCCGCCCCCGCCTCTCTCTGTCTCTCTCTCTCTCTCTCTCTCTCTCTCTCTCTCTCTCTCTCTCTCTCTCTCTCTCTCTCTCTCTCTCTCTCTCTCTCTCTCTCTCTCTCTCTCTCTCTCTCTCGTTCTCTCTCTCTCTCCTCCCTCGTTTCTCCTTCGTCCGCTCACCCCTTCGTCCGCTCACCCCTTCGTCCGCTCACCCCTTCGTGCGCCCCCCCTCGCCACCCCTGCGCGCGCGCAGAGCCTCAAGGCGTCCGGGGGGCGTCACCATCAGCCGCTGCGCTACCCAGCACCAGCACTGCCGTCCCAGCGCCCCTCCCCGCCGTTTTGCCGGGGGAAGCCGCCTCGTTGCCGCAGCAGGCGGGCAGGGCGGTCGCGGGGAGGGCGGGGCGGGGGGCGACGGTGCGGGACATCGACTCGTCGCCGGATCCGCAGCTGTGCGGGCGATACGTGGCGGACATCTACGGCCACCTCCGCGCCGCCGAGGTACGCCACTGCCGCGCGCTGTGGCGATTGCGCGGGGGGCGTGATGTGGGGGAAGGGTGCATGGGGAAATGGAAGGGGGGAGATGGTGGGATGCGAAGTGGGCATCTCTTGGGTGGGTGCCATGCCCAATTCCCGAGTCCACGCTCTGTTGCTGCGTCCGTGCCCCGATCGGCCTCTGTTGCCTTTCCCTACCTAACTCCCTCGTCTACTCTCTCCCGCCCTCTCCCACTCCTCTCTTTCCCTCTCCCCTCTTTCTTCGTTTCCCCTCTCTTGCTTTGTCTCTTCCTTGATCATGCTTCCTCTTGCGTCTCTCCTCATTGCATGCTGCCCGAATCAAGTCTCCTACCTTACTAAACCCGTATTACTGTGCCTCTCGCCCCCTGTTCGTGTCCCCCCAATCTCGCTCCCTCCGCCCCTCCGCCGTGGCCCCCCCGTGCGCACGGTGCAGCAGCGCAGCCAGCCGCGCGCGGACTACATGGAGAAGGTGCAGAGGGACGTGAACAGCGGCATGCGCACCATCCTCGTCGACTGGCTCGTTGAGGTGCGCACCAACTCCCGCATGGGACGACTGGAAAGAAGGCACGGGCGAGGCCGAGGAAGAGGGCGTGGGGGGGGGGGAGAGCAGAGAAAGGGAGGGGGAGGGAGGGTTATAGTGATGGGCGCATGCAAGGCTCGTGCTCGTTCCACGTGTGTCGTCATCAGACCGTCTCGCCACGGCCATGCCTCTGTTGAAACCGCAGCTTGCACAATCCTCCTTTCGTGCCTCGCTCCAACCCCTTGCTGTCCTCCGTTCTGCCGCTCACCATTCATCTCCGTCCCTCCCTCTGTCCGTGCGTCCTCTCACCGGTGGGTGCGTGCGGGTGTGCATGGGTGCATGGAGAGCAGGTGGCGGAGGAGTACAAGCTCGTGCCGGATACGCTCTACCTCACGTGCGCCTACCTGGACAGCTTCCTCTCCGCCCACACTGTGCCGCGCAGCCAGCTGCAGCTGCTCGGCATCTCCTGCATGCTCATCGCCTCGTGAGACCTCCTCCTCCTCCTCCTCCTCCTCCTCCTCCTCCTCCTCCTCCTCCTCCTCCTCCTCCTCCTCCTCCTCCTCCTCCTCCTCCTCCTCCTCCTCCTCCTCCTCCTCCTCCTCCTCCTCCTCCTCCTCCTCCTCCTCATCATCATCATGCTCATGCTCATGCTGTTGGCCTGATGCCCTACAATCTGTGCATGCACCACTGCCTCTATTGTACACACCTACGGCCTCTTCCTCTTTTCTTTGGGCCATGACTCGTTGCGCAGGACCATGCTTTCGTTTCACCCTTTGTGCCTTTCGTCTGGACCTCAATGCATCCGTGCCCTTGCTCATGTGTGTGCGCTGGTGCCTGGCAGCAAGTTTGAGGAGATCTACGCACCACAGGTGGACGAGTTCTGCTACATCACGGACAACACCTACACCCGCCATGAGGTACCCACCACGCTTACTCCCACATGCACCAGCCAGGTTCCGTGTGCAATAGAACCGGCAAGCTTGCGTGCGATCCGAATCGTATTGCAGTCTGATCCCAACCTCCATCGCTCTCGCCCTGTCCCTGTCCGTGTCCGCATGTATTGCCTCTCCCGTTCGCTCCTCCTGGGCCCGTCCACGTGCAGGTGCTGCAGATGGAGAGCCGGGTGCTGAATCATCTGGCGTTCGACCTCAGCAAGCCCACCACCAAGAGCTTCCTCAGGTGACCCGCCCACCCACTGCCTGCGAGCAGCGTTGGCACGCGAGCGCATGGGGCGAGTGGGATGCAGGGCTTGTGGGTGCGGATGACATGTGGGTGTGAATGGCGTGTGGGTGTGCTTGGAGAAGCGTTTAGACGGCCGGTGCTTTCTTGTGTGTTGCTGGTAGAGTGCATCCACTGCTACTCACTTAAAGCACAGCAGCCTAATGCTCCTTACAATTGTATTCCCCCACCCCACTTTGTTTGCATCTCTACAGAAGGTACATTCGAGTCGCCCAAGCCAGCCTCAAGGTACACATGCCCTCCTACTTTGCTCCCCTTCTCCGTCCGCCCTTCTATGGCGGGAATAGTTTTGCTGCAGGTCTTTGACCATGTGTTCGATGCGGTACTGTGGCTTTGGCTACCGAAATTGATCACCCACCTCCCCATCTTCGCTACCCATCTCCTCTAAAAACGACATCCAACCCCCAATTTGGCCACCCTATTGTGATCCCCATGCAACAGGACCCCTCGCTCAAGCTGGAGTTTCTGAGCAATTTCTTCTCCGAGCTGGCTCTCACAGACTACTCGTGCCTGCGCTTCAAGCCCTCGTGCCTTGCTGCCTCTGCCGTCCTCCTCGCCAAGCTCACTCTCTTCCCCACCCTCCCTCCCTGGGTACGCCTAACTCCAGCCCTCACCCCAACACCCTCCCTGCTTTCTCTCCTTCGCTGTGCGATTGTCTTTGCTCGTGCTCACACCTCGTGCCCTGGACGTCTCCCAAAGCCGATTGTGGCCCCTCCCCCCCCTCCGTGCTACTCTGTGTGTCTGTCCCCCTGGTCCCCTCTGATGTTTGCAGACGGCTGCTCTGGCGGCTTGTTCGGGGTATGCGTGTGCTGACCTGCGGGAGTGTGTAGCTTGCCTGCATGCACTGCACTCCTCCAACGGCCGTGCGCCGCCCACTGCCGTGCACCAGAAGTACTGTCAGGCCAAGGTGTGTGCCATGTGATGTGTGCGGCAGGCTGTGTGTGTATGTGCCGTAAGCTTTGTGCATAGTGACCGACATAATTCTGGGACACGTTTCCTGTGATGCTTTCTCTCATACTTGTCTGCGACCGTTCTTCCAAGTGCGAACCCTGAGCCTTGCGCCTCCCATACTCGAGGGCCCCCTTTGATGTCCGCTTAACCTCTCATCACCTTGATCCACGTGTGCAGTTCATGGCTGTCGCCTCCATCCCCCTGCCTGCACTACCACCGGAGCCCCATGCCTCGCGTCACTCCCCAGCTCACTAGTAGTGACTTGCAGTAGCAGTGTAGCAGTGATGGCAGTAACAATAGTGCCTTAGCCTTAGTACAAGTAGCAGGAGCAGCAGCAGCAGTGTCCTCTACACACAGTGGCAGTGCTCTCTACACACAGGAGCAGCAGCCAGCAGGTCCACGTGACTGGTGGGTCTGCTGTGTGGCACGGGGCATCTAGTTAGGTTTGGGGGTTTGAGCAAGTGGCGGCAGCAGCGGGTCTTGCAGCAAGCTACCATCGGATGGTTAGCTGGCTGCTGTTCTATGTATTGATTATTGCCTAGGGAGTGCGTAAGCATTCGGTTTGGTGGTGGGATTTTTTTTTCCCTGAACATTCTACGGTAGTCATGATTATTGTTTTTTGGAGTGTGTTTAGAGAGTGCTACTGTCACGGGTGCAATGGATCGAGGTAGCGAGGATTGCACTAAGGTGTCAAACGAGTACAAAATGTGAGCGAGGGCATTAGCGGACATTTATATGCGAAACATGCAAACGGTGCCGTCAGCCCCCGGATGGAAGCGCCCCTGGGGTTGTAATAAAACACTATTTTTTTTGGGGTGCGCTTATACTCGAGGATTTTTATAAGCGCCGGCGGCTATAAAATGGCAAATGTGAAATGTGTTTTTTTTACATGTAACTGAAGTTTTTTCAAACGGGGATTCTTGTCAAATGTTGTAGCCTATAGTGAGGTTTGTCTTAGGGGGTACAAAACTTAGGGTTAGCTATATGTACCCCAACCAACATCAATGCACCATCCATTCTTCATTCTGACATGGTATCAGAGACACACCTGCACTGATCTTGGCACACGTGAAGTCCGAACTGCAGAAGAGACACACCTGCACTGATCTTGGTGAGCTGCGCCACTACCTTGGCCTGCAGATCACCAGGGACAGAGCTGCTCGCACCATTACACTTTCACAGTCGCACATGGTGCAGCAGGTCCTTCAGCGGTTCGGGCTTCAGCACTCCACAGTACAGCGCACACCTCTTGCTGTTGACCACAGACTCACTGGACCCTTTCCTGACGAGCCGTTCGAGCCTAGTGGTCCCTACGCAGAGCTTGTGGGTTGCCTCATGTACCTGATGACTTGTACTCGCCCGGACCTCGCCTTCCCTCTCAGCGTTCTTGCGCGCTTTGTTGCGCCAGGGAGACACCGTCCTGTTCACTGGACAGCAGCTGTGAGGGTGGCGAAGTACCTAGCGACGACGTCAGGCGTGGGGCTAGTTCTTGGAGGGCAGCAGTCTGTCGTACTTACTGGTCACTGTGACTCCTCTTACGCTGACGACGCTGAGACTCACAGGTCTACTCAGGGGTACTGTTTCAGCCTGGGTTCTGGAGCTGTTTCCTGGCGGTCCACACGCTCCTCTTCGGTCTCGACCTCTACAGCTGAGGCTGAGATCTATGCTGGTGCCATGGCGGCACAGGAGCTGCGTTGGTTGACCTTCTTGCTCACCGACCTTGGTGAGCGGCCGAGCTCTGCACCGACCTTGTTCACTGACAACAAGGCGTCTATTCTCCTTTGTCGAGAGCCACGACTGGAGAGCAGAGTGAAGCACATTCACGTCAGGTACTTTCTTCTGCGAGAGTTGCAGAGGCGTGGACAGGCTCGCTTTGAGTTTGTGGAGTCCGAGGCCAACACTGCAGACATCTTCACCAAGGCGCTTCCGCCTTGTGACCACCAGAGGTGCTGTGTGCAGTTAGGCCTTGTTGACACTGGTTCTCGTGTTGCTTAGACTTGAGTGTACTGTTTACTTTGCTTTCTATATATCTCTGTTACTTCTTGGACTGGCCTTGTGGCCACTGTTGTTTGTGCTCAGACTGTGTGGTGACGTTGTGATCCACCCTGAGCTTTGTTTCTTGGACTGGTCTTGTGACCGTACTCGTTTGGTTCTGCTAGACACCCCTCACTTAGGCTATGGGGGTGTGTCAAATGTTGTAGCCTATAGTGAGGTTTGTCTTAGGGGGTACAAAACTTAGGGTTAGCTATATGTACCCCAACCAACATCAATGCACCATCCATTCTTCATTCTGACAATTCTATCCACATCCAGAATGTTCGTACCCGTGCATGAAAAACGCGTCAAATGGCCAACAAGGCGTGGCATCACTGCAGCCACGCCTTGTTGGCCTGGCCAGATTCATCGTACCGTACATGAATCTCGCGCATGCTAGCGCACATGCTGTTTAGTGTAGGACTGCCCAATCAGGGTCGATGGCCGTGCCAACCACGATGCAGAACAACCACTAACCGGGCATATGCGGCAAGATTCCTTGCCAACAACGCCCCCACCTCACCACATCAGCTCCTCTGCGGGGAGATCTTGACCGTGTAGTCCTTCTCCCTGCAGAGGAACTCGGGCCGCGAAGTTGGAGGGGTCTCGGGCGAGGGCTTCAAACAGGCCTCATTCTCACCGTTTTTTCCAGGTTTCTTGTTTTCTCTCGGCTTGCCTCTGCCATGGCGGGCCTTCCAGGCACCCACTTTCTCTTTAACCGCCGAGGTGCTGCTGCCAAGACTCCCGATTACACTCAGTGGCAGAGTCACCCAGCTCCCGTACCTCCTGCTCCTCCTGCGCCTCCTGCTCCTCCTGCGCCTCCTGCTCCTCCTGCGCCTCCTGCTCCTCCCGCTCCTCCCAACGTCGTCATCAACGGTGTGCCCGTTCTGCAGCTTCTCCCTCGCGGCTACTCTGCTTTCGACGCGTACGCAGGTGCGGAACTTCTGGAAGTTCGTGCGACACACCCGCCGACAGTACGCCATCGACAACCGCTGTATCATTAATGCGGATCAGACCCAGCTCTGGCTCGAAATGCTAGCTGAACGCACGGTCGAGGAGGTGGGGGTGCGCTCCGTGCCCATCCGCAGTGGCGGCTATCAAAAGGAACGCGTGACGGTGATGCTCGCCTGCACCGCCAGCGGCGAGAAGCTCAAGCCTTTAAGCGCAATACAGTTCCAAAGGGGGATTTCCCCTCCAGTAAGCCGAGCAGCTTGTGCAGTTCCGGTAGGATTTGTATGTGTTGTTTTTTTTTTTTTGCAACTGATGCCATTCTTAACGTTGTGCGGATGTGCAGATGTCGTGGTCGCCGCACATCCCAACGGGTGGATAGACGCGGACGGCGTCCTCGCGTGGCTCGACGGTACAGTGGGCCCGTACGTCAACCCGAGGTTCGGAGTGCGCAGCAGGAGGGCGATGCTGGTGCTTGACTCCTACCGCGGGCACCTGACTGATCAAGTGAGGGCGAAATTCGGCGAGCTGCGTATCGTGACGGCCGTCATACCAGCTGGCTGCACATCGGAGGTGCAGCCCCTTGACGTCGCGGTGAACCGCTCCTTCAAAGCAGCTGTGCGACAGCAGTACCAGGCATGGTTCGAGAGCGAGGGTGTTGACTGCCTGACCGAAAAAGGTGAGATTTAATTTCTCGGCGTGATTGTTTTTTACTTATTGCCCCTGTTCTAACTGATGGATCTTTCTACGTGTGGCAGGCAACATCCGCAAGCCACCACCAGAGCTGACGCTCAAGTGGATCTCCAAGGCCTGGAAGTCGGTGCCCAAGGAGTTGATTGAGCGCGCGTTCCTCACCTGCGGCATCAGTAACGCCTTGGACGGGTCTCAGGACAGTCTCTGCCTGCAGCACCGGCAGGACGCCGTCAAGGGCGAGGTAGAACTTGAGGACGAGATTGCAGCAGATGGATTATGCTGCAACAACGTAGACGAGCCAGAGTCGGATGGTGAGACCGCCCAGGAAGGCACCGCCACTGCTGAGGAGGATGTCTAGGTTGTGTAGGTAGAGTAGAAATGTGTAGGACTTGAAAATGTGGTAGAAAATGCAGAACATGTAAATATGTAGTAGGATATTATGAGAAATTGCAGAATAGCAGTAGGATATGAATTGTAATAGTTTAAAATAGAAAATAGTATTTTAAAAATGGTGGCACTTATAATGTGTACGGTACTATAACGACATTATCATGTGAAATGGTGGCGCTTATAATCCGTAAGGCTCCAAGGGTGCGCTTATAATCGAGGAGCGGATATAAGCGCCCTCATCCTTTTATAAGCGCCGGCGCTTATCTGAGGCCGGCGATTCTATCCGGGGGCTTACAGTAACACGGTGCGTGCGAGCTAGCTAGTGCTACTGTAAGGAATTTTCTCGAATTCCTTATCGGGGTTGACTGCTTCGCGTACAACCCGATTTTCGGACTTCTCACGTTCGGCCGATTCCAACGCTGCCGAGGCTCCTCGCGTCGCCTTCGGCATTTCCATCGCCAAACCTGCACCCAACCTCGCTCGCCCGAGGTTTCCTCCTAGCTAGGCTAGCCCTATTGTCAGAATAACTGAGCAGGAATGGAATGAACTAGCACAGAGTTTGGTACAAGTAGGAAACCCTAACTTTGAGTACCCCCTAAGGTGTAACCCACTACAGCCTACATAATATAAACATGCAATGTTTGACACACCCCCATAGGCGCAGTGGGAGACAACCACAGGGTCACAAGACCAGTCAAAGCAAAGCAAAGCAAGCTCAGGGTGGATCTCAAGGATTCCACACAAATTCCGAGCACAAGCAAGCGGTCACAAGACCAGTTCACATGCAGGTTTATAACAAAGCAAGAGATACAGTGATCACAACCTAGCAAAAGTAAACAAGTAGGCATATATATATAGTGATCACAGTACAAGCAAGGTCAAGAGGTAAGCAAGTGAGGCCCAGTAGGTACAAGGCCTAGCAGAGTGCAAAAGCGCTGATGGTCACAAGGCTGAAGCGCCTTGGTGAACACATCAGCAGTGTTGGCCTCCGTGGCCACGTAACGCAGACAAAGCTGACCACGCTGCTGCAGCTCTCGAGCAAGGAAGTACCGCAGAGCGATGTGCTTCGTTCTGTGCTCCAGTCTGTGCTCCTCACACAAGGCAATGGCAGCCTTGTTGTCGACGTACAGCACTGGAGGAGAACGAGGCCGCTCTCCGAGGTCGGTCAGCAGGTAGGTCAGCCAGCGTAG